ACACACTTCATCAGACTGTTCACAGGTAACAACACACACTTCATCAGACTGTTCACAGGTAACAACACACACTTCATCAGACTGTTCACAGGTGTGTGTCTGTGTGTTTCAGTTCTGGTTCCAGACTCTCAGGTAGAAAACTCTCTGTGTATCCTCGACATTGACATGTTTCACCTGCTGGTGAGTTTAAACACTTTACACTAAATCCAGTTAAATTCATTTTAATCTGATTGAATCTGATGAAACCAAATTCCGCTTTGAACCAGTTTAAACTTTGTCTCTGCAGGTTTACAGCGTGTTAGCTTACAGCTCAGTACACAGGCTGGACCAATCAAGTGCGAGTGTTGACTCAGCTCATCTCCACCTTCTTCACCTGGTCACAGTGACTCACCTGGTTCAGATCCTGCTGACGAACTGTACAGGTGAGAGACACACACACACACACACACACACACACAGAGTTCTCTTCATACCTGCTTCTAGGCTTCATATTTGTTTGGGGGCATTATGTTTTCAGGTTGTCTTTCTGTCCCTGACCTGTCTGTCTGTCCGTCTGTAGAGGAGGTGTGTATGGATCAGGACAGTGGGTCAGAGGAGGAGGAACTGATCTATGAACTGTACAACACACTGAGGAAACACCTGGACAGGTGACGACACACACACACAAACAATAACTGATCACTAATTGATTGATGTGATCATCAGAAACAGTGCTCACATGAAGCTGACACAAATGTGAACAAGTAAATAAAATCAATTACAACTATTATTAATTAGAATCAATAGATTTAAATAATTTTTAATCAACAAAGTCTGAATTTATTTATTGTGTAACTTTGTGTGTGTGTCTGTGTGTGTGTGTGTGTGTGGGGGGGGGGGTGATCAGTGTGTTACCTGTAGTGTCCTCTGGGTGGCAGTTGTGGCGTTGTGTCAAAGCCGGTATCTTGCCATTTCTCCGAGCTGCCGCCCTGTTCTTCCACTACCTTAACTCTACAGCGCCGCCTGCTGACCTGCTGGGTAACTACACACACACACACACACACACACACACACACACACACACACACAGGTGGTGATGATTTGAATAAAGTTTCATCAAATAATGACACTCATATTTAATGTGTGTGTGTGTGTTGTAGTTGCAGGTCCTTGTCAGTGGGAGGCACTCTGCAGCTTCCTCAGTCTGCCGTCCAATCTGCTACAACTGCACCAAAGCCAACACACACTGCTGGAGCCGCTCATATACAGGTACACAAACACACATACACACACACACACAGCTGGAGCTGCTCACATATACACAGTGTGGTTGTTGTTATTTTTTCATGTGACCAAATGTGTGTGTGTGTGTGTGTGTGCATGTGCGTGCGTGCGTGCGATGTCATCAGGTGGTGTTGTCATCCAGGTGTGAAACAGGTGCTGCAGGGGGGCGGAGTTCTTGTGAGGTTTCCCAGAGAGTCAAACAAACTTATCGAGCTTCCGGAAGATTATAGCGTCCTGATCAACCAGGCGTCCAGCTTCACGTCAGTGCACACGCTACACACACATTACACATACACACGTTACACGTATGTTACACATGTGCACTGCACCTACACGCGCACTGGACACACACACGTGACATATGTTAAATCTGTGTGTATGTGTCCTGCAGGTGTCCTCGCTCAGGCGGAGATAAGTCACGTGCTCCCACTCTGTGTCTTGTGTGCGGCGCCATCTTGTGCTCTCAGAGTTACTGTTGTCAGACGGAGGTGGACGGAGAGGATGTGGGCGCGTGCACCGCTCACACCTTTACCTGCGGCACGGGCCTAGGACTCTTCCTCAGGTAACACACCTGACTTTTGCTCTGCTGCCATGGTAACAGCATGACGACATCAGTCAAACATCATGACTCATGATGCAGACGCTTGTTGTTCACCAACTCAAAAAAACACATTTATTTATTTAAAAATTTAAAAATATGATCTGATTTTACTTCATAACAAGTACCGTGTGTGTGTGTGTGTGTGTGTGTGTGTCCAGGGTGAGAGAGAGTCAGGTTTTGTTTGTTGCAGGTAAAACAAAAGGTTGTTTTTATCCTCCTCCTTATCTGGACGACTATGGTGAAACTGACCAGGGACTCAAGTACGTGTTTACCTTGTTGTTATTTACATTGTTGTTGTTGTTTACCCTGTTGATAGGGTTATGTTGTTTACATTGTTGTTTGTGTTGTTCTTGTTTACCTTGTTGTTGTTTGCCTTGTTGATAGGGTTATGTTTACCTTGTTGTTGTTGTTACAATATTGTTGTTGTTTGCCTTGTTGA